AAATTACCCATTTTTTTTGTAAACGGGTGAAGATGATGAAACTACCCAAATGAGCAGCCAGGTATTCACATCTGGCATGTACCCAAAAGAAAATTCGTGACTTCACTACTACTTCAGAGATAATTAATTTTCAGAATACAGAGATATGTTCAAATGTTTAAACCCGATGACCACTAAACTTTGAAGATCAAAAGTTTTAACTAGAATTCACAAATCGATTCAACATTACCAAACACCACAGTACTTAGACGCTAGCATCTTAAGCAAGTCCTTCCCTAATTTCAGGCGAGATAGCTGGACCACTGCTTGGCTTCTCCTAGGCAATACCAAACTGTCCGTAATTTGTTTCTGAAAACTGCCAACTGCTGCTGTTTTGTTTGGTCAGGGAGAAAGGTCATTCCATTTGATGTTTGTCTCTTAACCACCCTTCAACTTCAAGGAGGGCTTTCAGTTAGGCTGTCTATCAAACCAAAATGTTGAGCCAGAAAATTAAAAACTAATGAAAAATTGATCATTTAATCAGTATTTTATAGATATTATTGAAATAAATTATGTATGAATAATATATCAAGCCCATTTATCGATATTTATTTAAAGTTTTTTAATTTGTTTGGCAATTTATAGAAATAAAAAATAATAAAACCAATATAATTATTCTTAAACTTTATGATTTACATATGGCATGTATTTTTGAAATTCTAATGGTTTTGATATAATTTTTAAATTAAGATTATATATTACTGTAAATTATTATTGATAGTATAATTTATAATAAATAATAAAATATCAATGGTCTTATACACTTAGGTTGCATTTGGCATTCCTTATTTTGAGGACTTATCTCCCTTTTACAGTTAAAGTGTCCCTATGAACAATGAGGTTTTAACTGCAGAAAGGAGAAATGTCCTTAAGATAAGGAATGCCAAATGCATTCTTTATAATTTGTAAAGTATATAGTACATGTGTTGGACTCTTGGTTGATATAATAGTATATCTATTTATCCCAGTATAATGAATTCTTCACATAAACCATTAAAGCATGTAATTCATATGTGTTCATACCTTTTTCATAGTTATTTACTTATTCAACCTTAGATTTAGCATTATTAATAAGATAAATTTGTTAAACTACCCTTATGGTTTAGCCAATCTAGATCTCTCGGGCGATACAGAGTGGGAGCGCTAATGCCCGTGGTCCATTTTGGAGTCAGTGCCACCAATGGTGTTAATCATCAGCTTCGACATCTCTTGCTTAAGGTGGGCATGCCAGCTTTGACCTCTTCGATCTTCTTGAGCAACTCTTTTTCTGGAGGGGTGTCCATAAGAAAATCCCAATGAAAAACCCCTATACATCCGACCTCTGCAATTCTGGTGGTTCCGACGGTTCCGGAGAAGAGAACGAGAGATTAAAGGAAGAGGGGAAAGGTCGTAACTGTGATTCCCTTATAGCATCCGACCTCTGCAGTTCTGGCAGTTCTTGAGAATAGAATGAGAACAAAAAGGAGAGATCAGAGATCTACAGCGAAAGAGATCGAGGTGGAGGGTAAATTTTGGTTTTTAAAAAAATTATATGTCATGTTTCTATGAGTTTTGATGGAATATTAATAGAACCTAATGGTAAGGGTAGAGTTAGTCAATTGTTAGAAACAATAGGGATAGTGTTAGTCAATTTTCAAACAATAAGGGTACACTTAGTCAATTAGCTAAACCATAAGGGTAGTTTAAGAAATTTACCCTTATTAATATATTGGATTTTTTACTTTAACCATCCTTGAACTTTGCAAAAAAAAAAACAAAACAAAAGCCACTTTAGACCCAAAGGAATTAAAATGGCCAAAATCGTTGGCTTGGTCAGCAACTTATTGACTTAGGTAGTCAAACTGTTGACTTGTTCGACTTGGACAATGGTTTTTTGACCTTTTTGTTTTAATTATTAGTTTAATTTTTTAAATTAGAATGAGCGGTCTATTCAAATTGCTGACCTGGAAATTGGTGACCATAATGGTTCCGGTTCCAGGTTAGTTTTTAAAACATTGAATAGCACCCTCCTCCCAAGGTACAAGCTCTCTCTCTCTCTCTCTCTCTCTCTCTCTCCTCATGGCACACCTTGAAGAACATCTCGCACATTTGCATTCACTATGAGATCCTAGAGTCCCAGGATATTAAGCTCCTTCTTCTCCATATCATCTAACTTGATCATTGAAGGGTTCTCTTTGAAGACCTAACTTTGGGCCTTTGGCGCTACTTTGTGATTGTAGGTCACCTAAATCCAAGGATCATCTAGTCACTATCCAGCTCTCTCCTTGTTGCAAAATTGAATAGCAACAATGTGCAATACCAATACTTTGAACTAGGGGTGTTCATGAGTCGGATCAGTTCAGTTCCAGGCTATTTAAGTAACTGAATTGACCTGGTTAGGTTGGGGAGTTAGTCACCTGAAACCGATTGACCAATAATGAAAATTGGACAATTCAGGTTGTATCATTTGGGTCAGTTTTCCGTTTGGTTGGTCGTTCAAAAATAAATAAATTTAGAAGTTAAATTTAAATTTAAAGAATTGTAATGGTATTACTAAAAAATAAATTTAAGAAAAATAAAATATTTTAAACTAGAAAATATGGGAATTTTCTTAGTTTTCCATATATATACATATACATATACAGTCAAATCGGGCCAGTTTTGGTTGGTTTGCAAATGACCAAACTGAAACCAACCAAAATAATTAGATAACTAACTAACTCAAGTCAGATTAGGTCAAGTTGGTCAGTTTCATTAGTTTGATGAACAACCCTACTTTGAACTTTGGTTTGAAGATAGAAATCCTAGATTTATACTTGTTTGATGATGTAAGATAAGAGGTAGACAAGGGTTTAATCTCAAAAGTAACAAAAAAAATTCCAAGCATGTTTGGTAAAGGTTCCTTTCACTTGATGTTAATGGTGTCATGGTGGTTGGCATTATGGTTTTTTAACCATTGTTGACTCAAACAGTCGAACCATTTGGCCCAAAAACCAGCCAGACAACTGGTTATGTTTCACCCTTGAACTGTTCTTTCATAAAAAAATAGTTGATTTGATCAATAACCTGCTGACTTAGGCAGTCGATCAATCCACCTCAACAACAGTTTTTGGCCATTTTATTTTAATTGCATATGGACAATCCATTTGAATCGGATGGTCCGACCTGGTTGCCAATACTGTTTTGATTCAGGATCAGCTTTTAAAACATTGGTTGGCACTTGGCAGCCATACACACGCACAATTTTAGTATACATGGACCACAATTGCATAGCTTTGAATGGGAGTTTGCATCTTTGAACCGTCGCCAACCAATTTGTTTAAGAGAGTAAAGTAAAATAAAAAAAAAAAAAATGCACAAAGAAGAGTAGTTGTAATGACTCTCTTCTTTGTAAAGATTTTATCCTAAGGTTTTGCACAAAGAAGAGAGTTATTTGTAAATAGCAAACTTGAAATGATGATAGATCATTAGATCCTGGGAGATTTAAACCTCTTAGGGTGCCACCATGAGAAGGAAAAAAAATACGACAGTGCAGTACTTCACAATGTCAGTGTCACATAATAAACTAGAACGAACAGGGTTCATTTTCCTAACCTACTAGCTACTACTAACTCATGCCTAGCCTGCCCATGTTATTCAATAGGGCACAACCAATTGCTATCCATGCAACTCAATTCAACAAAGCCTTACCTCAACTATACCGAGTTAGCTACATGAATCATCCTGGCTCCTGCTCATGTTATTCATTATAACCAATTGTCTTGAAATAATTTCTCAGTATTTACACCCCTTGTTTATAGAAAGAACCTTTCTCCTCGGAATTGTTATCTATAACAAGAAAACTATTTTTCTCCTTATCTATAACAAACAGTTGAGATCAAATCAGCCCCCCACAACGTCCCACAGCACATCCCCACCGTGTATTGGGAACATCTCCCAATGATAATACATGTTTCCAATACACAGCGGGAATGTGCTGTGGGACGTTGTGGGGGGCTGATTTGAACTCCAAACAGTTTTCTTTTCGTAGCAAGGTAAAAACTAAATACAATAACTTTTGATATGTAATTCTTACCAGGAAGATAACCATTGCTGATATATGAACGTCATGATTTTCCAATGATGCCTTCGTAAACTTGAGTTCATCTATTTACTATTACAGGTAGTGGCCAATGGCCATGCAAAACCAGAATAACATATGATGATACATAATCAAAGATATGCGGAGGATACCATGTTATCTTTTCCCATGTACCATGGGAAGAGATTTTAACTTGCATTGTATAAGAAACAAAGAGAGAAATTCAACAAATTATGTGCAGCATAGAAACTATTTATGTTCAACAAAGTATTGCTTTCCTACAATAAGACCAGACATGTTGACTCTTTCTTGCACAACTCATTTATAGGCAGCTCAACTCAATCAGTATCATCGGAGTCGGACTTCTATATATGTGATTTATTAAAGAGTATTTAAAATGAGTTGGCCCGCCAAACCTCTGGCCCAAAAGCTGCATCACTTGGCAACTCAGGCAAACCCTATGCAATTTTGCAGTTTAATTTATCAAATTCCACCCATTCTTGGTAGTCTAGAGTTCACATCTGTGCCCCACAGCGTGTCCCAAAAACACCCCACATGCACATCTCAGCATGTATTGGGAACATCTCCCGTAATTGTCTTCAGGAGATGTTTCCAATACACGGTTGGGATGTGCTGTGGGGCGTTTTTGGGGTGCGCTCTGTGGGGCACAGATGTGAATTCGTCCTTGTCTAGCTATGCTAATTCCAGACTTGACCACCTATTGAATTTTCTCAACAATCACAACAGTTTTCCAGATCCACTTGAAGTAAAAAGTTGGTGAGATCCCAAATCCCTTGCTTAAAGGGAGCATGTCAATGGAATTTGACAATTAACTGCAAAGAAACCATGAAGTAAAGCTGAGAAATATATACTCAATAAGTTCAGCAATCAGCAAGCATGTAGCTTTACTATGTTCAATATAAAAAATGTAGTTGGAAAAAGCCTATTGGTGAAATTTCTAATGCTTCCAAACTATAACTTTACAATGTATAGTTTCATTTCAACAATGATTTATTGTAAGCAATTCCAGTGAATTTGAGTGTTTCTTGGAGGAAGCACCTTCATTAATACAACATACATCAAATATCCACTTCAGACCTTGAATTTCAAGAACTAAAACCAGATCTCTTGACTAACATTTACATATATACATTGAAAGCAAAACACAGTTCTGCTGGATTATTTCTAAGAACTCATTTATGATTAAAACCTACCTCAGACCTGATAAAAGATTCCCGCTCTTATTGTGTAACTCATCATAATTAACAAGTAAAAAGGATTTAACATTTAAAAGAATGTTTTGACTGCTATTCTAAGCTGCTCTGAATTCTAGTCTAGTAACAAAAAGAAAATTAATAAAGATGATCAAAGAACTTTTTAAGATAAGAGGTGCCTCAACTGGAGAAGGTGCTCCTCATTTGAAATGTTAAGAGATAGACGAAGATTTGTTAAGAGGGACTCCTGTTCCCAGCTTAAAGGACCAGAAGCATATAATGCCTGAACAGTTGACTTATATGCATGTAGCTCTAATCTATGGATGTTGGCTTCTAGTTCTTCTTCGGCACAGGAATGCAAATCCTTCAACCCAGATATAGATGGACAGGATGACCCAGCATCACTGAAAGAGATGATAGGAATTTTCCTAGGTTTTCTGAAATTTTGAGCAGTAAATTCCTGGTAGTCATTACTGCTACAGCTAGAAACAGAGCATTCTTTACTCTCTTGAGTAGCCTGAACAGGCATGGAAGATGGATGTAAGGCAAAATTGTTTGTTTTACCCATTTTAACCTTCATTTCAAAAGATCCATTTATGCATTTCTCACCCATTTCCAGATTTGGGGAAGAAACGACATCTACCTGTTTAGGGAATGTAAGAGTTCTCATATGTGACTTGTCAAAATTTTCAATTTTTATGCTTGGTTTCCCCTTTTTACCACCTTGTCGGCTAACTGCATCATGTGGTGATGATTCAAAATCACAGATGTAATTCCTCTTTGAAGTTTTCACAGTGGGAAATGTCTTGAACTCTTCCCTCTCATTTCTCTCTCTTGTTAGAGTGTCTTTGCAGATTGATTGTTGAGCATCACCGCCCAAAGCATGAGAGTACTTCAAGCAATTTTGTGTTACTTTTCTCTTGATTAGTTTAGGTCCATCAACCTGCATGCATATGCAATAAATAGTTAGAAAATCCAAGAGAGATCCAGTTGTCTGGTAAAAAACCCTTTGACCATAATCAGTTCCATGAGACAGAACTAGAAGGTACAGGCAATTAACAGAAAACCAACCAACTTGAATACAAGTACTGAGGCTCAGTTTGGAAAGAGTACAAATACATACAAAATAATAAAAAATACAAGGTTTTGTACTCTACATATTTGCATTTGTACTCTTTCCAAACTGAGCCTGGAGAAAACACCACCAAGGAACACCAATCAGTTATTGGCAATGCCAATCAAATTGTTTAACCAGCAGAAACCACATCCAGAGCAGTGTGGGTTAGTTATTTCAACAGGAAGAAGAAATTTTCCTAGAATTAGTGAACAACAAAAATATATATTGACAGCTTAATGGCAGGGTATGGGCATCAAGCCCTAGAAATGACATAAACCGAAACATAGAACCAAGTAAAGGAAAATCTGCATAAAAGTATCAAAAAAATGAAGATTTCATCTATTCTCAAGTTCATGAAACACTAAGAAAAACAATATAACTTTTGTAATACTTAGAACTGGATTTTTAACTGAAACTTCAATTAGATAAAGATGAAAAAACAATATAACGTTTGTAATACTTTCACAACAATAAAAGTCTTTATTACTTATCATGTCTTTATTACTTATCGTTACTTCTGATGAAATTATCCATAGAGACAATTAAAGAGTTGCTCCTTCCCACCAAGATTAACAAGCTATGATACCCCTGACAATTACTTTGGAGCTTCTACAGTTCTAATGAGAATGAAAGCTTTCAGGCACACAAAATGGCTTCATACTTGAAAGAAGAATATAAAGGCCAAACTAAATCTTAATAAGTGATGAAAGTTCTTAAAAGCATCACATATCTCATTTATTAGTCAGAATATAACTCAAGCCCATAAGCACAACCTTATTATTTATTAACATTAGGGTTGAAAGTTGGGTTGCCCAGTTTGAAGAATTTCAACTACAACAGACTTGGGTTAGGGTTAAAATTTAACAAGTTGCTGACCCAACCCAGCCCAAGTTGCACCCCTATTTAAGGTATAACACAAAGACCCACTAGTAAACACATTTTCTAGGTTTGTAGAAGCCACAAAACTCAAAGATGAAATTAAGATAGAAATTCTAATTTATCGTCTAGAATTTTTCTAACCTTTGAAAATATTTTTCTTCAACCCAAGACTTCATAAAGTAATTCTTAAGTAACAAACTATGATATCTGGACTTATCATTTTTACCCCAAGTATCCATGTCACAACATTGACATGGGTACAGGTTCTTTCTCTTATCAGTCAAGTCTGTATCTGTTTTCTGATGCCAAGTTTTGATTGATTGGGTATTTTTTACTCAATTGGACAAACACTAAACATAAGTTATTAATAACAATTATTGTTAAAAATGGCATTCCATTAGAAGTTAAAGCATGCAATTAGGTGTCAAAGGTTGTTGCATAATTAGAAATTAAATATTTACTTTTCAATATATGATGTGTCCATATATTAGTAAGAGTTGCAGACCAATTTTCAGAAGCTACCATAGTTCAAAATTTTGTTGTCAAATGGATATGACTCTTGGACGCATACCTGCACCTGATGCCAAAACCTGAACTCATGTAATGTATGCTTGTTACTTGAGCTCCAGTAGTGTTATAAATCAACCAAAATTTTACTGGGGAATAAGATTCCATAGATTCAATTGTCAGTTAATATAATTACACCTCAAAGCAAATCATTAGATATGGGAATGATAACTTTATTATTATATCCAACAGTTTGCAATAAGGTGCCTAGGAGAAGGGGAAAGAAAAAGCAAGCACTGAGACCATGTATTTAACTTGCTACAGGCACTATGGAAGACATTCCATTTCTTTTAAGGAATTAAAGAATCTAAGAGTATATCATGGTTCCTTATCCCAATATGAAAAAGGCTGTAAAAATATAGTTCTGTTTGCATTATTTCGACAAATTTCTTTCCTAAAGCAATATCCTATCTCACATGATAAACATGAGGGGGCCATTCAAGTTAATAAAATAAATAACAAGATTAGCATTTAGCAGCAAGCTATTAAAGACAAAAAGGAAATCTGATCAAAGCAATAAGGCAATTTCAGTGATTTTTTACATGTTTTGCAATTATGCAATTGCTAACAAACAACAAGGGAGCACTGCATCAAATCAACTACACAGTCTTACAAGTTCCAAACAACAAGAAGATAAAGTTTGTTCAGTAGCTCATAACAAGAATCCATATAACATAATCTACATTCAAGACAAAACTAGGAGAAAATAATGACATTTGGTAGCAACAACATGAAAGAAAAGTAAGAGAAGAACTTGTCAAATGATAAAGAGGATTAAAATTTTACCTTCTCTATCAAATCCCACTTGTTGTTGTGCCACACTTGCCGAACCCGAAGAGTAGGTTTATCAAATTCTCTAAGCTGGATAGACCCAAATAGTCTGATGACAAACCGGTTGTTATTCATCACTTTGGCAATTTTCCCAGCCCTCCAAGAATGAAAATCAAAAACTTCAACTATATGACCGAGCACCCATTTCTCCCCTCCCTTCTTAGGTGGTGGCTCAGGCCTAACATCTTCTACATTTACCTTCTCAACAATTGGCTTTCCTTCATTATTCAACAACTCATATCTAACAGTGTACTGATCCCCATCTACTGAAATTATTTTTCCAGGATACCAAGAGCCAAATGGATCTTTTTTTCTTCTCAATACTTCCACTTTATTTCCTTCTTTGAACTTCATAATTCCAAAATTCCTTAGGCGTTACCCTGCGAACCCAATGCAAGTCAATAAAAGGAAACCATATGATCCATTCAAAGGTTTTGGCATAAAGAATGAAGGAGTTACATGCAAACAAAGACCAACACAAAGAGCTTCACGCCACGAGGCAAGGATACCTCCCAAGCAGGCTGCCCAAATGCCCAGAAAAGAAGTGGGCTTTGCAGATGCAGATCAAAGGAGGAGTCCCAAGGTCATGAAAGCAACGCAATCACTTAGATAACTACAGACTATTTTCCTACATTCTTTACAATTTAACAATTTACAAATCAATCAATTGATGAGGAAAAACTAGCACATCATTATACGAGAGTTCTGATTAACTGTAGCTTCCTCAACCCAATAATTAAAGAAACAAACTAGCAACAGGACTGAGAACAACAAGAGATTATCAAATCCAATCAAATAGATATTTTTTTGGAGAAAAAAGAGAAATTCTAAATAGCCATAAAATCGCGAAAACTGCAAACTGATAGTCATGCATCCAAACTTCAATTACTAGCAAGACTTTGCAGAAGACTTGAGACAAACCAATTTACCAGTTTTATCGAAAAAGCTTGTAAAAAGACAGAATACTGAAACCAACAAATTAAAAAATACAAAGTAATGCAGAAGTAAAGTAAGTATAAAGAAGTATAGGGATTACTTAAAAACAAATTTCAGACATTCGTTAAAATACCATCAACCATCACATCTCAATTCAAAAACCAATAAAGATTACAAAAGAGCACGAATCCATTACAATATAAGAATTAAAAAACAAAAAAAAAAAGAGAGAGAGAGAGAGAGAGAGAAACCTCAACCAGCGATTATGGCGAAAATTAAAGACAACCAGAAGAAAAGTAAAGGGAAGGTAGTCAAATAGATAGATGAAAAAAAATGTAAATAAAAAATTCTACAAAGCATTCTGACATGTTGAGTGTCAAAAATAAGGGCGAAAATTCACAAGAATTGATTGCACTGACCTGGGTTTGATCGAGAGACTGGAGTGACGGTTGAAAACGAATTCAACGCAGATTGTTGTTGTTCATGATCATGACCACATGTTTACGGAGAATGGAGTGCTGTTTTTCTTTTTTCCGGGAATAGGTGTGAGAGTAACTTAAACCGGCTTTAATTTGGAATTATCTTTTAATTAGGTACCAGCCGAGCCTACCATCTATATTAAATGACCTGGGTTTCATTTCATTTTATTCTTCCCGATTCCATCCAATACGATTTAAATTCAGTAAAAAAAAGAAGGTAAAGGAAAAGAAAAAAAAAACAATTCTTTCAGATAAAAAAGAAATATTTTTACCATCTCTTTTTAATAATCATCTTAGAAATACAACCCACAATTAGGGATTGAAATGGGCCGAGTTTGCGGAGGGTGTTGTAAATTTTAGAGTTTAAACCCTACCAGTCTCCTTAAAACCTCCCTAACTCATGCCTGCCTCAAAATTATTCATAGTGAGTATAAAGATGCAAAATCTTCCCCGTTCCTAACCTTCTCGCATTTAGAAGAAATGAATAAATATCAAAATTTTTAATTTATTTGATTAAGACATGTAAAATATACATAAATTATCAATCATCTTTCGCAATAAATTCATATGCTTTTGAAAACCCATATAGGCACACGTGTAAAATTCCAAAACCCATTCCCACCCTAAAATCCATCCTTCAAGCAGTTGGGTAGAAATTCCTAGCTTCTACATTCAACCACTTTACCCCTTAACATGCTAATAAGGTCGACTATGACAACAAAATTATTAAATTGTGCATTCGAAGTTCTATAAACTTACCGTAACAAACAAAATTATTAAATTAATTGGTCTCATAAAATAATGGCATAATAATAGCTATTTTTAGTAAAATGATCCACTGGAAACATCAAGGATACAAAAAGGAGCCCCCTTTTACAGAATTGAGAATTGAGAGGATGATCTTAAGGGGGTGGTTTTGAACAAAAAAAGGTAAGTTCTTAGCTATATTATGTGCCTTAATAACATCATCCCTACAGACATATAGCAGATTTATGATCCAGGAGTGCATGGCCGTTCCATCTCATGTTTCTTCTGGCTCCTTTTAATTGCATCAAAATGTCTTTAGTATCAGAAGTTAGAGTTGCTTTACCAATCCCCAAAAGAGCTAGTTTCCTTAAGCCTCTGATGATTGCCAGAGTTCAGTTTCACTGGCATGACATTGTTGCAATGCAAACATCATGTGTATAAGATATAGATAAAGTCTTGTAGAAGTCGTGTGGGTGCAAGTGTTCCAAGAGCCAGCCAGCCATCCACTACAACTAGTGAATGAGAAGAGAAAGAAAACCAATAATCAGAGAATGTGAGATCAGTAGCATTCTCTAACAAAGTGACATTTAGCTGAGAAGGCCCGCCCAACTCGTGGAACATATCCATCAGCTTTTAAAATTACTGTGAGAGGATCTGGTCTTTTCCCTCTAAAGACCACATCATTCCTATGATCCCAAAGGCTACGAAGGATGGCTAGAATTCTAGCCATAAAATGATCCCTCAAGGCTTTTGGTTCAAAGTTTTTCTTTGATCATCAGTCCAAAAAATCCAAGGATCCTGAAGAGATAAATTCATTCAAAGAATAGGTGAGCTTGTGTTTTGTTTTTACTTTGTTCATCAGAATCTTCCACCCAAACATTTGACATTTATAAGGAGCTTTCACCATCCAAAGCATGGGCCATCGAATGAGGGATCCTGATCAGGTTCCTTCTCCATCATCTGGATTAAAGCTTCTGTAATCATAATGGACTGTGTAAACTCCATTCTTTGATCCTTTCCACAACATGGTTTCTTCGGTCTGATGAGGAGAGATAGGGAGGGATATTGCAAATTGCTTCCACCGTACTAGGTTCAAAGAGTTGGTGCAGGATTTGAGTATCCACATTCCCAATTTTCTATAATGAGGTCTTTTATAGTCCAAGTCCGATATTCTTGACTAGCTAGCAGAGGGGTTTTTATTTGGGGTTTATTATTTGGCAGCCATGGGATCCAAGGGTCTACAAGAGGGTTGATTTTATCTCATGTTCCTATCTTCCAACATAGGTGCGAGGATATTTGGTCTCTTACTTCTAGGATATTTCTCTACCACCTTGAATGGGACTGTTTTTCTTTAACCTCAAAAGACTTTTGTTTTTCAAATATTTTACTCTTAATTGTCTTTGCCAAATTGATTCCCCTTCCTCAAACATTTTCCAGAGCTGCTTTGCAAAAAGCGCTTTATTCATAGGTTCCATTAATCTCAGTCCCAAACCACCTATGTTTTTCTCCATGAAATGTTGTGGCCCAAACTTTTCTCTTTATCTCCTTGCCACCAGAAGTTCCTCTGCATTTGTTCAAGTTTCTATAGAACTTTCTTAGGTAGTATATTTGTGAGCACCAAATAGGCTAGAACGCTTTGAATTACTAACTATAACATTGTGGTTCGGCTAGCTTGTGATAGCACCTTGTCTTTTCAAGTTTCAAGCTTGTTCTCCACTTTTGTAAGAACTTCTTTGTAAGGCTTACTTTTGTTTCTTTCTTCATCAATCCAAGAACCTAAGTACTTGCCACTAAAGTTCATAATGTTCATGCCCAATAAAACTACAAAGAATGTTTTGATGGGTTCTATGAACATTCTTGCTGAAGATAATGCCAGATTTATTGTAGTTGATCTGTTGACCAACAATCTTCTCGAAAAGAGTTAGTACCTGCTTGATTGCCTGAAGAGATTCTAGAGACACGCCTTGCATACTAGGAAACAATCATCCACAAATAACAAGTGGGTGAGGGGCTAAGAATTTTTGGCAAGTTTAATCCCCTAAAGTCTGCCTTCAAATTCTTCTCTTTCAAGAAATTTAGAGAGAACTTGCATTCCTATAATGAAAAGATAAGGAGAGAGAGGATCCCCTTGACAAAGTCCTCACTTAGTATGAAAGAAACTAAAAGAGCTGCCATTTAGTTTGGTTGAGAAAGAAGTGGCAGAAATGCATTAACTTATTAAGTTATACCATTTTTCCGGAAAGCCCAATTTTCTGAGAGTTTCAATTAAGAAGCTCCACCCCGTCGTCCTATCAAAGGCCTTTGCCATATCAATTTTTAACATAACCCATTTTTGTTTCACTTTCTGATGCTTCAATTTATTGACTATTTCTTTGGCAAGAATAACATTACCAGAAATGTTTCTTCCTTTTATGTAGGTTGCCTGATTTGGAGAGATTAATTTTGGCAAGAGAGGCTTTAGCTTATTTTCCAGGACTTTAGCAATTATCCTGTAGATGACATTACAAAGACTAATCGGACGGTAATGATTTGTAGATTCAGATCCCACTTTTTTTAGGAATGAATACCAAATAAGTATGATTCAATTCCTTGAGCAAGAATTTACTGTTGAAAAAGTTCTGCACTAATCTTGTAAGATCTGCACCAAGGATTTGCCAGTACTTCTGAAAGAAGTAAGGGGTGTGAATCTATCTAGTCCTGGAAATTTATGGGGACTCATTTCAAAGAGGCCTACTTTCACTTCAGTTTCATTAGGTACTAGCATCAGATTTGCTTTTTCTTCCTCAAAGATGAGGGGAGAGATTAAGCCCTCCAAGAGATCAGGGTTAAATTCTTCCTCTTGGCCAATATGCTTTCTACTTGAAACCTAGCTTTGATTTCTTGTTTTTAACCATTCTATGTTGTTCCATCTTCTTCTCCGATTGGTTTGAAGGTGAAAAAATCTCGTGTTTCTATTTCCAACTTTTAACCAAAACTCTTGAGATTTGAGTCTCCCGTCTTTCCTCATAAGCCAGCCAATGATTGAATTATTGTTCAAGATCCTTTAGAATAATGTTACTCTTCGGATCTAAGGGACTTTGCTGAATAGTTTGAATTTTTGTCTCTAACTCATTAATTTCTCTTTTATGTTACCAAAAGTCTCCTTATTCCAAGATCTCAGATCTTTCTTGATGAATTTTAGCCTTCTAGAGATTTTATAGGCCACCGACCCTGAGACTTGTTTTTGTCAGTTTTGTGAAATTAACTTTTCACAATCCTTATGTTCAACCCACGTTGGGAGAAAGTGAAAAGTTTGTCTCCCTCCCATAAAAGAAAAGCTTGTATCAAGGATAAGAGGGTTATGATCTAATTAATAGCTAGAAGGATTGTTAATTTGGTCTCTAGGAATAGATCTAGTCATTCTAGGCTAACAAAAGCTTTATCCAGCCTTTCTTTAACTAGTTTTCGACCTAGTTGCTTATTTGTTCAGGTAAAGTAAGGTCCTAAGTTCCCTAACACAGTTAGAGAATAGGAATCAGTAACATGTTTTATACAACTTGAGATATGGTGAAAATGACTTGGACTTTCATAACTTCAACATGAATAATATCATTAAGATCACCCATCATTATCCATGGATGATTTCGAAGATACTTTGAGAGAAGTTCTGCCAGAATAGAGCTCTATCACTTCTACTAGGATGACCATAAAGAAAAACAACGTTTGCCTTGAGGGCCTTGTAGAATTTTTAGTTTAATGAGTCAGTTATTTGAGTTAGTAATTTCAACTTTTAGTCCATCTTTCTAGCAACAAATAAGACCTCCTCATAAGCCTTAGGCTTCTACTATTTCAAAGTTGAAAAAACTTAGTCTTTTGTAGAGCTAAAGATGAACCAGTCATTGACTATATTGACAAGTGGAGAAATCTCTATCTCAATTGTTGAGACAAGCTCTCAGAAGCTTTAGCTACTGATA